AAAGAAAGGAAAGTAGAAGAAAATTGGAAACAATGATGGCTGTTATGTGACATAGAGTCACATGTGACTCATAGAGGCCCAATGAACAGTAACTCTCAACCCTGCCCTATCCTTAGGCAACTTCACCATCTCCCACAACCTACCCCAGTTATTGTGTCAATCCATCTCATCTGGGGTCTTCCTCTCCTGTGCTGTCCCTCCACCCCTTAAAGAATGTTGTCCTTCTCCAAGGACTTGTCCCTCCTGGACATGTGTCCAAAGTATGTGAGACAGAGCTTCAAAATCTTTGCCTCCAAGGAGCAGCCTGGTTTCACCCTCTCCAAGACAGACCTGTTTGTTCTCTTGGTGGTTCATGGTATGTTCAAGACTCTTTTCCAGCACCACAAAACAAAGACATTGATTCTTCTTCTGTCATCCTTAGCCATTGTCCAGCTCTCTGATGAATAGCAAGTAATTGCGAAGATTGTGGCCTGAATCAGACAAACCTTAGTCTCTAGACTTATATCATTGCTTTTTAGCACTTTGGAGAGGTCCCTGACAGCAGATTTCCAAGATGTAATTAATCTTTTGATATCCTGACTGCTGGTGTCAAGAGTGTTGATTGTGGAGCCAAGCAATCTGAAATTATTAACTACTTCAATTTCTTCTCCAGCTGTTAGGGTGCTGCCAATTGGTCCAGTAGTGAGAATCTTTGTTTTCTTGATGTTGAGCTTCAATTTATATTGGAGACTTCAACCTTTTGCAGTAAACACTTCAGGTCCAGTTCAGTTTCGGCAAATAAGGTTTTGTCATCTGTTGTTAATGGGTCTTCCTCCAATTCTCATGCCACAGTCTTCATAAAGTCCAGCCTCCCTAATAATCTGTTCTGTATGCAGACTGAAAAAGTATATAGACAGGATTCATCCCTGACACACTCCTTTCCTGATTTTGAACCATGCAGTCAGCGTTTCCTTGCTCTGTTCTGAGGACTCCTACCTGATCCAAGTATAGGTTTTCCATGAGCACAATAAAATATTCTGGAATTCCCATTCTTCTCAATGTTAGCCACAATTTGTTCTGATCCACACAGTTAAATGTCTTTGCACAGTCAGTGAAACAGATAGACATTCCTCTGATGCCCTTTGCTTTCAGTCAAGATCCATCTGACATTGGCAGTAATATCTCTAATACTATGGCCTCTTCTAAAACTGGCTTGGCGTCTTCTAAATCTGGCTTGTTTTTCTGGTAGTACTCCTATGTCTATGTACTGTTTCAGTTGGTTTTGGATAATACTCAGCAGGATTTTTCTTATGTGGCATATTAGAGGTATTGTTTGATAATACAGATCACCTTTTTGGGGGGGCATGTGAATACATATGGATCTCTTCAGTCAGTTGGCCAGATATTGTTCTTCAGATTCCTGGAACAACCTGGTGAGCACGTCCAGGGAAGGATCTCTTTGTAGAAATATATCCTTTGTATTCCATCAATTCCAGGGGCCTTACTTTTTGCCAGTTCCTTCAGAGTACTGCTTGAACTTCCTTCTTCATCACAATTTCCTCTTGATCATATTTTGTTTTCTGAAATTCTTCTGTGTCAGCCATTTTTCTTTTTCCCTATAATGACTCTGTGAGCTTCGTCCATCTTCTTTTGATGCTTCCTGGATCATTTGATATTCTTCCCATAGCATCCTTTAGGTATTGCAACTCAAGTCTTAAATTTGCTCTTCAGTTCCTTTAGCTTAAGAAAGGCCAGTTGAGTTCTACCCTTCTGATTTTCTGATTTCATTTTAATACTTTGCTTTGTCTTCATGAACTGTTCTTTGAAATCTTCTGTTTAGCTTCTTAACATCCTGCTTTCTTCCCTTTGCTTTGGCTTCTTGGTGCTCTAGTACAATTTTTTTCCCCCTTCTCTGTTTTGTAATGATGATTTGCATTCTTCATGAATGATATTCTTGATATCCTCCCACATTTCATCTGATCTTTATTCTTTAGTGTTCAAGGCCTCAAACCTGTTTCTGAGATGGTTTTTTTCTTTCCTTTTAAAAAATTTAAATAATATTTTTATTTTGTACTGATTCCCTTACAAAGTTCATATACATTGTTTTCCACACTGACTCTTTCCCCTTTTCTTGACCCACTCCTCCCTCCACCCATTAAATTGTGCAACTCCTCCAGTATAATGGATTCCTCCTGCACCTTATTCACTATCGCAAGAACACAGAAACAATCCACATGTCCAACCACAATTGAATGGATTGAGATATCGTGCATATTCACATGATGGAATACTACCCAGCATGTTGGGGCAATTATTTTTGAGATGATTTTCAAATTTAGGTGGGATAGACTCAAGGTTAAATACTGGTTCCTGTGAATTTGATTGAATTTTCCTTAGCATTACTTTGAACTTGCATATGAATAGTCTGTTCCACAATCAGCAACTGGCTTAGTTTTCACACATAGAAGATGGTTTTAAATGCCTTGCTAAAAACCAGTTGTTGCTGATTATGAGCCAGGATGACCCATGTGTGCAGAGCTAGGAGTCACAGGATTTCCAATGGAGTATTTCTTTCTCTTCTCAATGATTTATTTTTTGAAATGTGGTTACTAGATCTTTTATCCCCCTTCCCCAGGTGCCTTTGGGTAGACCTGTGCTCTAACCTTTTGATTTGTAGTCAACCGTGTTAATTGTTTGCACAACCCTTTGACCTCTAAATGTCATGCTAGGAAATTTTATTATCTTTATAATGTTCAACCTTTGAGAGTTTTTAATTATGATAGGAGGAGGTTTCTATTCCAAGAATATCAGTTTACATAAACTGGATTAATAGGTCTAGGTAATAAAACATCACCAACCCCAATGCCTGTTGTGTCTGTGTAAGTGATATGAGCAATTAACACATTTAGAGTAAGACAGTAAATGGAAAGGGTGAGCACAGTATCCAACCTGAAAGTATCCAATCAGTTCTAGTGGTCCCAGTATCTAGGAATAGGAACTTGCTGAGTGTTGTTAGCTAATCTTATTTTTTTTCAATAATAACTAGAAATCTAGATTTCTATCTTTCAGTTTTTAAATTTGGCAAAGGATATAGATTTTGAAAAAAAAATGTATTGTGGTGGGGGGAAACAAATCCTGTGGATTGTCAGTTTTTTGTGATCTTTGGACCAAAACTACTGGAAACAATGTGAAACTATTGAAATTGTCAAGGTGAGTAATATCTGCTTACAGCTAGAGTAATATTTATGGGAAAGCAAAGCAAGGTGTAGATGAAAAGTGGAGAATCAGCGGGTGTTGAGGATGGGTAAGATGAGTATCTTTGGAGATACACTGTGTGGATAATACTGGTGTAGTATCCACGTGGGATGGCCTAGAGAGAGTTGGAGTTCAGGAGAGTCACCCAGACGACACTAGGAGATGTAACAGTCATTCGCATATATGAGGCATGGGGATGGCTGAAATAGCCAACCATTTGTAGTAGGTAGTGAGGGCTGAGGGCACAGCCAGGCAAAATATAGCCAAATGTGGATCTGTGTGCTCATGTGAGGAAGAAGAGAAGCCCCCAATGGATGAAAAGCCATGCTTAGAGAAGTTATAGGAGATCCTGAGTTGTGTAAATTCATGGAGGCTTCAGGAAGATATATTTTTTTCAAGAAGGAAGAGATATTCAGCAATTTTAAGTCATAGAGTTTAAAATGAATATATTAGTAGATTTGATAATTAGAAGTCCCTGGTGCTCTCTAGGGAAAATAGTTACAGGTAATAAATTACAATAGTATAAAGAATTTCTGGGCAGCTCTGGAAGCATGGTCTGTAGGAAGTTGTGGTGCTAATCCAAAGGCTACTCCTCTGTCATGGTTCAAATCCACTGGTGGTGCAGAGGGAGAAAAAGGATCATTTCTTCCCTGGCTTTATACAGCCCTGGACACTCAAGGGAGGGTTAGCTGTGAGTTGGCTCTGACTCAGTGGCAATGGGTTAGTGAATGAAAAAATATCTAAATGATCCTTAGTAGTGCAGTGATTTAAGTTCTTGGTTACTAACCAACAAGTTGGTGGTTTGAACCCACCAACTTTCTTTAGGGGAAAGATCCATTTCCATGAATATTACAGCTTTGTCGGTCTTACTGGGTTGCTATGAGTCATTGACTTGATAGCACCATGTTTGTTTTTGGTGTAGAAAACTTATCTTTTGAGAAATCTTACAAAGGAAAGAGTAGAATGACAGGACAGACTCATTCAAAGGAACCTTTTTTTAAAAAAAACAAAAACAAAAACAAACAACAAAACAAACAACCACCCAAACTGGAGGGTGAGCCTATGGGAAGGAACAAATGAAGAGCGATAGATGGAAGGGATGAGAGAAAAGAGAGACTACTGTGAAAGCAAGTCTCTAAAAGAGATTAAAAAAGTACAGAATCATGAACATTGGCCATGAATAAACATTCTTCTTGATAGCAGGGGAGGAACAACTGTAATAAAGGTGAAGGAATATTTTCAGGCATCAGGAGAGACATTTTAGGAGGCTGCATCAGAAGGCTTCACTTAATCTTCTTTACAGAGGAGTCCAGAAAGAACTATCAGCCCAGTAGGAAGAACAAGCTAAGAGGCCTGTGGAGTGGTCTCTTGATTTTATGAGGCAGCTATTGTCTATCCAAACAAAAAAATGCATATTTGAGTTCCCTTAGATGCTAATGCTGTGTGAACTGGCTTCTTCTCTCTGTCCTTTTTTTCTATTTTTTTTTCTTTTCAGTTTCATCTCTGTATGATATTCTAGTGTCATAGACCAAGTAATAGACAACATGATAAAGGAAAAAAAATGAGAAGGAAATGGATCAAATGGGGAGAAAACTTACTCTCAGTCTTTTCTGTTTATTTATTCACACTTAAGTACTTTTCTCACCTCTGACAGATCTACTTTCATGTCTAGAATATACTTCCAGTTTACTTAGAGCTGACAAATCTGCTTTTCATTTTTATTTGTATTACTGCTTTGTTTTGCAGTGTGGCAATTTATCAGAGAAATGTCTTCGAAGTCAGAGGAGGATAAAGAGAAGCTGGCAAAAGCTGCCAAAACTTTCTTCTTTAATATATAGGATCTTGTTTCCTTCACAAATACACTTATAGAAATGTTTAACTGCACTCTGAACACCCAGATCCTTTCTGTAGCTATGAAGGAAGATGGTAACATTAAGGATTTATTTGAACAAATGAACAAAGTTTTTACAGAGATGCAGTCTGTAGTTGAGGCAACAAGCAAAGACATGCAGAAGGAGCCATTATATCTTAAGATAGCCAAGGCTGTGTCCTCTGTGATTGAACAGAGTACCAATATACAAGAATTGCATCAGTTAGCCAAGGAAGTGTTCAGTAATGCCCATGTGCCACTGATTGTCTCTATTCTGAGTCATACCAATGTTCTTGGAATGATGCTATCTTCTATTACACTCTTGATAAAACACCCCATCATGAAACTTAGCCTGAGTGACTTCTATAAGAAAGACACCAAAGAGCAATCTGATGCCACCACATCCAGGAAAAGCATTTCAGATCCTCCTAACACCAACACGACGGAAAACTTGAGAGAGTTGGAGGATGCACTAAAAGATGAGAATGCCGAGAATCCTACAACATCAGATGCAGATCAATTGGCGCAAATTGTCACGTCTGTAAGCCCAGTCATAGAGGTCCTCCAAAAAGCCATAAAGACCATGGAAACCAATATTTCCCTGTTTAAGAAAGCTGGTGACAGGTAGGGGCGTAACCAAAATACTCATGTATGTCAGAAGATCAGATCAAGTGCTATGGTTTTTCCAAGTACTTTCTAAAATCCTTTGATGAAAAACTTATGAATTTTTTAGTGTGTAAATGTAGAAAACAGTCACCTGTCAAACCAAAGCAAACAACTAGTTGTGCTTTATTAAAGTGAATAAAAGTAACAAAGGCAAAAAAAATTAACTTGAAATTAGTTAATAAAGATTAGGCTTTATTACGGGACTGACATCAGGGTTGGGGAAGACTGAGAAAGATTGGATAAATTATGTATATTGCATTGAAACAGATGAGAGAGAGAACTGTTTAAAAATGATATATGATTTTGAATAATATTGCATGAGTTCCTTGTTTTTTAATGCAGCATAGTATTCCATTGTGCGAATATACCTCAGCTTCTCTAGCCATTCGTTTGTTGATAGGCACTTAGGTTGTTTCCAACTCCTTGCTATTGTGAACAAAGCTGCAATGAACATGGGTGTGCATATATCTGCTTGGAT